CTGGATGCCCAGCAGTTGAAAGCCAACATTTAGCTAAACATGTCATCGCTGGACAGGTTGAGGAGGGGGTTGGAAAAAAGTACGGAGTCAGACATAGTTTTTGCAAAGTTACACACTGAAGCAACATTAATTTTATTGATGGGTTTTATCCTCTTCCTCATAATTCTGAGGAGGAAGCAACATCTCACCTCCTTCTGTCCCATGCGTGCATTTTTCATGTTACGTGGCGCACACAGCCGCACTGCGCCATTTTCAGCGTATGTTCATGCATTACTGGAACAGCTCTTCAGGACGTCCTCTATCCACCCAGCGTCTCTCACACTGGTTGTGTGAGGCTATTTCTGAAGCTTACAGTTCATCTGGACTGGATCCTCCAGAGAATCTCAGCGCATTCCACCAGAGGGTTTTCATCCTCCATGGCTCTGCATTGAGGGATGACAGTGGAGGATATTTGTATGGCGGCTGCCTGGTCATCACCATGTTCAATTATTCGTTTTTATCTACGTGATGTTTCTACTTTCTCCATGACCCATTCTGTTCTCAGGGTTCTGACAGAATTATTATTATTTGTTTCATGGAGCCTCACTTTTGAGCTCACACCTGCCTGCATGCAGTCGCAGTGTGAGATATTTATTATCAGTCACAAGTTCATGACTGCTGATTTTATCATTGTTAATCAGTTCATCCTGAGGAGCTGTTGGTCTGCTCTGTTCATCGTTACACTGTTACAATTCGTATCCTCTGTTGTTCCTATTCACAGCAGCAGGTCTGCTATCTCAGCCTTTTTTCCTCACCAGAGATCTTTTCTCCGGTGCGCTCCTGCGCATGGAGCACGCAATTACGCAGCGCGTAATTATGCACACAGAAGGCTGAGTGATGGAATTTTTTTTTTTTTTTTTGTGCAAGCAGGTGCTTCATGTTGTGTCCGTGTGGACCCAGTGAGGCATAGACTATATCCTGCTTCGCCTTTAACCCACCAGAGACAGTCCTTAAAGGGCAAAGCCTATACGAAATAGAACGTTGGTTACGTACTGTAACTCCAGATTCTATGAGTATAGGCGTAGCCCTTTAAGCTCTGGGCCTCACTGGTTCCTAAATGGCTGAAGAAAAAACTATTTGGGAGCTGATTCCCGGTCTCACCGTAATTTATATGGGGGAGAGGCCCACAGAGCAGGTGGGCATGAACTAAAGTTTTCAGTGCAGCGCTGAGCGCCTTATGAATAAAACCCACCAGCGACAGCTCTTAAAGGGCTACGCCTATAATCATAGAATCTGGGGTTACAGTACGTAACCAACGTCATTAAATGGACAGCCAGAGCAGATCCATAAATAAAGAAGTGACTGCCTCATCCTTTTTTTCCCATGGAAGAAAACGTTTAAGGTTCAAAGTGTGAACCTTGTAACGAACCAGCCAACTGGATCAGGAACTGCTCAACACTTCATTGCTCTTGGCTGGAATCCATTGGTATGGTTAGCTCTGGTCAGTCTAAAAACAAAATTATTTTATACAAAACCAGCCAACCAGTTAAGTGTGGTTACTGGATGCACAATAATCTAGTTTCAGCATTTCCCTGTAATCTTAAGCAATAGATTTCCAGGCTTTCTAAACCTTTTATTCCCCCTTGAACTATTGTTGCTTTTACTTTTTTTAACCAGTACCTCAACATTTTCAGAGAAATGTATGTGGTTTGATCTGTGAATTATTCAAGCCTGAAAAGACTTCTTAAGACTTAACAAAAAAACTAGTTAAAAAAGGATCTTTTTTTTTTTTTAACCGGCATCCTGTTACCAAAAATCATTTTATTTTATTTAGGTAATCAATGAATATAAAAAGGGCGGCACGGTGGCGCAGTAGTTAGAACCTCTCTGTGTGAAGGTCGCCGGATTGAATCCTGGCTAGAATCCTTTCTGGGTGGAGTTTGCATGTTCTCTCCGTGCATGCGTTTTCTCCAGTTTCCTCCCACAGACCAAAAACATACATGTTAGTCTGATTGGTAACTCTAAACTGTCTCTAGGTGTGAGTGAAAGAGTGAATGGTTGTTTGTCTCTATGTGTCCTTGTCATTGGACTGGAGACCTGTCCAGGGTGTCCCCGGCCTCTCAAACAGTGAAGGCTGGACATGGGCACCAGTGACCCCTGTGGCCATGGAAGGAAGAAGCTGGTAAAAGATGATGGATGGATAACAACAGTATTTTAGCACCAACAAGGTGTGCTATTATTTTTTTTTTCATTTAGCCTTTATTTATCCAGGTAGTCTCATTGAGCCATGAGAACTCATTTTCAAGAGAGACCTGTTTTAGGGAGCACATGGTGGGGGTTAAGGGCCTTGCTCATGGGCCCAGAGTGGGGCGAATGAGCTAGCTGAACTAGCTGAACATTTGATGATCAGCTGAAGGATAATGCATCTCTCAGATCTTCAGGTCCGTGTTGGATTTTTTTTTTTACAGATTTTCTTTTAAATATAACTTTCAGATAATGTTCATCTGTTGTTGATAGCTTTTCTTTTTTAACAGTTCAACACACTTCTTTCATCCTTCCCTCACTTTTCAAAATCCCATTTCAAACCAAGTTGTCATTATCAGCACCGATAAAAAGTAAATGTTGCTCAAATATTGTTCACAAATCTGTGTGAATCTGTTAGTGAGCACTTCTCTGCAGAGATGATCCATCCACCTCACAGGTGTGGCAGATCAAGATGCTGATTAGACTGCAGGATTATTTAACAGGTGTGCCTTAGGCTGACCACAACAAAAGGCCACTCTAAAATGTGCTGTTTACTTCTACTGGTTTTTTTTTTTTTTTTTTGGAGAGGAGCTAAAAAAAAACATTCAGTATCTGGCGTGACCATTTGCCTCACAGTGCAACACATCTCCTTTGCAGAGTTGATCAGGTTGTTGAGTGTGGCCTGCTGGTCCACTCTTCAATGGCCGTGTGAAGTTGCTGGATATTTTTATTTATGAACCTTTATTTAACCAGGTAAATCCCATTGAGATCACAGATCTCTTTTACAAGTGAGGCCTGGGCCTGAAGGCAGCCTAACATGCATGTTTTTGGGCTGTTGGAGGAAACTGGAGTAAACCCACGCAAACCAAAGAACATGTAAACTCCACACAGAAAGTCCACAGGTCCAAACCTGGGATTGAACCCAGGACCTTCTTGCTGTGAGGCAACAGTGCTGACCACTTATCAGTCATGCTGCCCAGATGTTCATATTTAATATTTGTTCTCATTCTGCCTTGAACAGAATTGTCACCGATTCTGTTCATAACTTTTATGGACAGAATTTCTAGGCGCAGCCAAGGTGTTGAGGGGATCTGTTTTGGTGGCCTTAGGATTGCGTCTCTGCTTTTTGCAGATGATGTGGTCCTGTTGGATTCATCAGATCGTGATCTACAGCTTTCGCTGGAGCGGTTTGCAGCCGAATGCGATGCGGCCGGGATGAAGATCAGTTCCTCCAAATCCGAGGCCATGGTCTTGAGCCGGAAAAGGGTAGAGTGCCCTCTCTGGATCAGGGAGGAGGTCCTGCCCCAAGTGGAGGAGTTCAAGTATCTTGGGGTCTCGTTCACAAATGAGGAAAAAATGGAGCGTGAGATCGATAGGCGGATAGGTGCAGTGTCTGGAGTGAAGCAGGTGCTGTACAGGTCTGTCGTGGTAAAGAGAGAGCTGAGTCAAGGCGAAGCTCTCAATTTACCGATCAATCTACGTTCCTACCCTCATCTATGGTCATGAGCTTTGGGTTGTGACCGAAAGAATGAGATCTCGGATACAAGCGGCTGAAATGAGTTTTCTCCGCAGGGTGTCTGGGCTCTCCCTTAGAGACAGGGTGAGAAGCTCGGTCATCTGGGAGAGACTCAGAGTAGAGCCGCTGCTTCTCCATGTCGAGAGGAGCCAGTTGAGGTGGCTTGGGCATCTGTTTAGGATGCCTCCTGGACGCCTCCCTGGTGAGGTGTTCCGGACACGACCCACCGGAAGGAGGCCCAGAGGAAGACCCAGGACACGATGGAGGGACTATGTTTCTCGGCTGGCCTGGGAACGCCTCGGGATTCCCCCGGAAGAGCTGGCCCAAGTGGCTGGGGAGAGGGAAGTCTGGGCCTCCCTACTTACGCTGCTACCCCCGCGACCCGACCCCGGATAAGCGGAAGAAAATGGATGGATGGATGGATGGATGGATCTGCCTTGAACAAACACTTTTTGTGCTTTTGAATTAATGCACCAGAAGCTTCAAACATTGATGACTGAACTCAGCTGTGGAGTTGTTGTTAACTTATTTGTTGTTTTTTTTTATTATTATTCAAGTCAACTTACAAAAAACTGTAGATTTCATTCCATAAGATTTTAAAATGTTCATTTGAATATATTGAAGTTATCTTGTTACCTTACAGAGGTATAATTTCTATCGACTGTTCTTGAGGGCATCCTGCTGGGGTGGTGTTTGATGCACCAACTAATTAGACATCCAAGGACCACCCCACTGAGCACCTCATTCTCCAACTCCAACCACACACAGCCTTGTTGAGCTTTGTGTGCAGCAGCAAGGGATTATGGGTGATTAATACCATACCTGTGACAATAGTTCCTCATTAGATGTTACATTTTCACATGGAAAGAGGTCCGAACACGTGACGGTTCCTTGTTTTGAATTTGTTACTTCAAACACCTGAACATGACTTTTTGGCATAAATAACATTTTATTTTGTTCCTTAAAAGTTTGCAAGTGAAAGCAGAGTTCCAGCCCACTTCATAGGTTTGGTGTTTAGGAAAAAAAAAAAAAAAATCAGATTCTTGGCATTTTGCATTAAATACAAAATAAAAAATTTAACCAAAAATAGTAAGAGGTTAGATATGAGCACCCAGACTGTGTCCCTTGGTTTTATTTAGTCAGATTAGTGTTTTTGATTAATTAGGTTATTATTGAAACAGGACAGAGAAATATGGTTTATAAAGGTATTTTATTGTCATCACATTAAAAAAGTATTAAATAATTGTACATAACAGTAGCTCTAGGAAGACGACACCACAGGCATAGTGACGGTGAGGATCTAAGGAAAAGAAACATCAAACATAAAGAATGTCAGAACACTTGAGGATTATAACAAACATGAAAAACTAAATGTACACACCAACAATCTGTTACATTTAATTTGGTTAAATGTAATAACCCTTTGTGTTATTGTAGAAGATTGTACAACTCACAATGGGACAACAGTGTAAAAAGAAACAGATCATTTTAAATAACGTCCTGTTTTTATGCAACTGATCTCAGTTATGTGATCACTAAAGAACAGGTGAAGCTGACCATAAAAATAAAGTGCATCTGCTCAGATGATAACCTCTGAGGATACTTCAAGGTTCCAAAGCTTGATCAAGCACAATCACAACTACAAACCGGATTCCAAAAAAGTTGGGACACTAAACAAATTGTGAATAAAAACTGAATGCAATGATGTGGAGGTGCCAACATCTAATATTTTATTCAGAATAGAACACAGATCACAGATCAAAAGTTTAAACTGAGAGAATGTATAATTGTAAGGGAAAAATCTGTTGTTTCCAAATTTCATGGCGTCAACAAATCCCAAAAAAGTTGGGACAAGTCCATTTTTACCACTGTGTGGCATCCCCCCTTCTTCTTCCAACACTCAACAGACGTCTGGGGACAGAGGAGACCAGTTTCTCAGGTTTAGAAATAGGAATGCTCTCCCATTCATGTCTAATACCGGCCTCTAACTGTTCAATCATCTTGGGCCTTCTCTGTTGCACCTTCCTCTTTATGATGCGCCAAATGTTCTCTATAGGTGAAAGATCTGGACTGCAGGCTGGCCATTTCAGTACCTGGATCCTTCTCCTACGTAGCCATGATGTTGTGATTGCTGCAGATTGTGGTCTGCCATTATCGTGTTGAAAAATGCAGGGTCTTCCCTGAAAGAGATGACGTCTAGATGGGAGCATATGTTGTTCTAGAACCTGAACATAGTTCTCTACATTAATGGTGCCTTTCCAGACATGCAAGCTGCCCATGCCACAAGCGCTCATGCAACCCCATACCATCAGTGATGCAGGCTTCTGAACGGAGCATTGATAACAACTTGGGCTATCCTTGTCCTCTCTGGTCCGGATGACATGGCGTCCCAGTGTTCCATAAAGAACTTCAAATTGTGACTCATCTGACCACAGAACAGTCTTCCATTTTGCCACACTCCATTTTAAATGACCCCTGGCCCAGTGCAAACGTCTGAGCTTGTGGAGCTTGCTTAGAAATGGCTTCCTCTTTGCACTGTAGAGTTTCAGCTGGCAACGGCGGATGGCACGGTGGATTGTGTTCACTGACGATGCTTTCTGGAAGTATTCCTGAGCCCATTCTGTTATTTCTTTGACAGTGGCATTCCTGTTTGAGTTGCAATGACGTTTAAGGGCCCGGAGATCACGAGCATCCAGTAGAGAGTTACAGCCTTGACCCTTACGCACAGCGATTGTTCCAGAGTCTCTGAAACTTTTGATGATGTTATGCACGGTTGATGATGATAACTTAAAAGTCTTTGCTATTTTACGCTGGGTAACACCATTCTGGTATTGCTGCACTGTCTTTCTGCACAACAATGATGGAATTGGTGATCCTCTAACCATCTTGGCTTCTGAAAGACACTGACACTCTGAGAAGTTCTTTTTATACCCAATCATGTTGTCAATTGACCTAATTAGTGTTAATTGGTCTTCCAGCTGTTCGTTATATGCTCAATTTCCTTTTTCCAGCAACTTATTGCTACTTGTCCCAACTTTTTTTGGAATTTGTTGACACTGTGAAATTTTGAATCAACATATTTTTCCTTTAAAATGTTACATTTACTCAGATTAAACTTTTGATCTGTCATCTACGTTATATTACGAATAAAATATTGACATTTGCCATCTCCACATCATTGCATTCAGTTTTTATTCAGGGGTCATTTAAAATGGAGTGTGGCAAAATGGAAGACTGTTCTGTGGTCAGATGAGTCACGATTTGAAGTTCTTTATGGAACACTGGGACGCCATGTCATCCAGACCAGAGAGGACAAGGATAGCCCAAGTTGTTATCAACGCTCCGTTCAGAAGCCTGCATCACTGATGGTATGGGGTTGCATGAGCGCTTGTGGCATGGGCAGCTTGCATGTCTGGAAAGGCACCATTAATGCAGAGAACTATGTTCAGGTTCTAGAATAACATATGCTCCCATCTAGACGTCATCTCTTTCAGGGAAGACCCTGCATTTTTCAGCACGATAATGCCAGACCACATTCTGCAGCAATCACAACATCATGGCTACGTAGGAGAAGGATCCAGGTACTGAAATGGCCAGCCTGCAGTCCAGATCTTTCACCTATAGAGA